TGTTTTAAATTTAGACTGGACTTGCGCCGCATCTACCCCACTCTCTCCTCCCCCATCTCTGCCCGGCGTCAAGACAGAGTTGGAACGATCGTAGGTCGGAGAGAACTCAGGTGGCTGGCACGGAGTAAATCTGCAACTAGGCGTACCACCACATCCCCTGGTCCACAACACACTGACCAGGATTTCATACTGTAACAGAAATAGAGGATTGTACAGATCCCGACTGGCGATGCGTGAGCCTGCGACAAGACCTGTCACTACGCCCCTAATGTTGGCATCTGCTATGAGTGCGCATTCCCGATAACGTCAGCTGGACCCCGATTTAATCCCCTGTGTTTGTCCGGCGCATCTATCGCGTGGCCCGCTTTGGTGCCAAGATATTACCGAATCACCAAAAACACAATAATCCTCGTCTGCATCCTCGTACCCGTTTCCTCTCCTCCCACTGTCCTCCGTAGTGACCCTACTCGCTCTAACGGTTTGGAATTTTCACACTCTTAGATAATCCAATGAATAACCGGCCAGAGAGGAGGGCAGCTCTGGACGCCCGCGAAGAGGGCCTCTACAAAGTGCACAACGCAAACCACATCAGTGCGGGCAAGGAAACCTGCCAACCAGCGATAACCACAGGGCATATCCCCTCGGTCGTTTTAAGAAAATTTTCGTCAGTGTTCCACCCAGCGGTCATTTAAATTACACCTGGAGAAAAATCCTCTCCCTAACATGCAATGCGGATTCCTAAGAAACTGCGGAGCCCCCGACACGATCTTCGCTCTTCTGCAATTACAAGAGGTTATGACTGAATTATATGGCCTCGTAAACAGGACATGGGAATAATAACGCTCCTCCTCAGTAATAAAGGTGGAGCTATGCATAATTCCCGAAAGGGAAAAATAGTCCTGTGTCCTAACTCAACGATAACCCTAATATAAAACTAACCATTGTCCCGACCTCGACCCTGATTCTACCCTAAACCTTGATTGTGTGGTTAACGCAACCCCGTACCTTAACCCCAAACTTGATCCTGACTTACCTTACCGTTAACTTCAAACCTGGCCTTAAACCTATTCCTTAGCTTAGCCCTAACCTTCATTTCACTGGAAGTTGGCTCAAAGAGACCTATATTGTTCTCATGCCCTGTTTAGGGAGCCCCACACATTAAGTGGGCTAACTCATGAAATGTCAGCCGAAATTTCGAAATTCGTCCCCGTTTTGAAAAAATTAATTAAGTGGGGTTGTAAAACAAATCATCTTTCAGCATAATTCTATAATACTCCAGTTACCTCAGGGTGCAGGTTTTCTAATGAACTTCTTTCCGACTGCATGCAAGAACCATACTCTGCAAGAAAGGACTACTTAAGTAGCACGTTATTCTTTCATTGTTCTTCGATGCCCTTAAAAATCCAATTAGATTTCATGCAAAACACGCATAAAGTATCCATCATTTTGCTCATTCGGCAGAAAATTACGTCTTCTTCCAATTATATACTTGAAAGAATAATAGAATTCGGTTTTCAAAAACTTTTAAAATTCCCGAATAACGTTGAACCCCGACCTGCCGTTACACTTGCATTCAGGGTTTCGGAACTACAAGCCGTATATTTTCCGCGTACGGAAAACCATACATTTCTCTACGGTATTAAGAGAAGACCATGTGGGGTTCATAAAATTTAGCAGTGGATTTGAGCCATATTGTTAACTTTACAAACCACATTAGTAAATGCAGAGACATGATGCTTCATGAATGGCCATTTCACGGTATTAAAGAATCTCACGATTAGAAACTTTATTAAAACCGAATTTTATCATTCCTTCGAGTATAAAACTGAAAGCAGACGTAATTTTCTACCGAATGAGCAAAAGAATGAATATTTTATGCGTGTTTTGCATGAAATTTAATTGAATTTTTGAGGGGATCGAAAATCAATGAGAAAAGGGTATGCTACTTATGCAGCACTTTTCTACAGAGTATAGTTTTTGCATGCAGCCGGAAAGAAGTTCGTTCGAAAGCCGGCATCCTATGGTAACTGAAATATTATAGAATTACGTTGCAGGCTGACTAGTTTTACAACCCTACTTAATTCATTTTTTTCGAAACGAAAGCGCATTTCGGAATTTAGGTTGACATTTCATGAGTTAGCCCGCCTACTATAATTTAGTCCTGCCCTGTCACTCGCTACGCTATCTTTGTGGACCTGACGACAGCCTTCGTCACACTGAACTACGATAGAATTCGAAGGATCATTCTGAATTTTGGATGTCCGAAGTCACTCACGCAAGTGGCATGACGTCTACACAATGGGGCGATGACCCGTGCCAAGGACAAGGGAGTAGTCTCGCAAGTATTCGACGTGACGAACGGAATGAATCTGGATTGTGCACTGGCTCCCAACCTCTTCGGTGGCATGTTCCCCGCTATGCTCTTGGATGTCTACCTCGAGCAACTACGAGGACTTTCAAAGCCGGTGTTCATGATCTGTTATTCGTGGATGATTGTACGCCGGATATGACAACCGAAGAGGACATGCAGCGGAGCGTGAAGCCCTTTGCCGCTAACTGTTCAGATTCCGGATCAATCATTTTTCCGGGGGATACAGGGGTCACGCATCAACTGGCATCTATGGATGAATACAAAGAACATAGAGTAAGTGTTAGTGGAACTCATCTGGCATCTGTGGTGGTACAACTTCAAGAAACATCAAGGGTGGCAGTGAAACTGCTAATCGAATCTTTACATCCAGCAAGGTCTTCGGCCAGTTGCAGCACTCAGTCTATAACTGACGCGGCCTCCATCTGAACATGATGGATGTACAAGGCCGTCACCCTGACGGGACTCCTATACGAAACATAAACCTGGACAATCTCCGAAAACCAAGCAAGAAACTCGATCACTTTCATGTTAGCCGCCTTTTTCGAGTACCGGAGGCAAAGTGGTATGAGAGAATCCCAGACACCAAGATCTTGAAAAAAACCAGTTCGTGTAGTATCTACGTCCTGTTGGCGCAGATGGGATTGTGTTGAAGCTGTCCTGTAAGTATGGATCATGAGTGGCTATCCAAATGATTATTCTATGGCGATGTTACTACGGATTCTGACAAACAGGGCAAACAAAAATAACGGTAGAAGCACACTCCGGTGGCCGATCTCAAGCATGTGCGGGTCAATACGGAGACCTGGGGAAATCCCAAAGTGGTCGGCAGTCCTGGTATGCCGACATAAAAGTGGAAATGCCATATTTGAGGTTCACAGAATAACTACCACCAACGCTAAACGAGGTGTCCACAAGACCCACATGCCGCGGACCAGCTCTGCAAACAGTAAACATCTGCTAAGATGCCTACATGGGTAACTGATAGTCACGGGAAGGGAAATTTGAATCAGAGAGCACCTTTGGATCCTGCCTTTTGTCACCTCACCCAACTCAACAACATCGGCACAAGAGATCACCATCATCAGCGACATCAGGGATGTCGCTCCCTCCCCCTCTTATAAGCGCAACGTCGCGCCTCATCACTGACTCTTCCTGGCTGGACATCGTCGCTGAAATAAGAAGGAGAACGCTGCTCAGCCACGGAAGACAACAGAGTTCATCCTGTCGCAAATGACAGTTCGACCGCCGGTTTCGACGATGTCCATCGTGTGCTCCACAACAAATTGAAGCAGGTACGGTGACTTGTGCATGAGTTAGTTTATAGTGAATGTAGACTTGCGCTACATCTACCGCACTCTCTCGTCCTCCCCCACCTGGACCCTGTGTCAATACAGCGTCAAGAAGACCAGAGACGGAAGAGGGCACAGGTAGGTGGCACGGTCGAGCACGCACCTTGGCGCTCCACTCCACACCGCCTGGTACCCACAACAAATAACCAGGTTTTTAACCAACTGCAAAGAATGGAGGCTGGCACGGCCGAAGCCGCACCTAGGCGTGCGGCCACACCCGGCTCGAATCCCACGCAGTGGGAGTGTCATAAAAGCCATATTAAAAAGGAGCCATTGAAGCCTGACTCTTAGACCACCAGCCGGCTGCTCCACACAAATACACGCTGAGCCGACCGCGAGGCCTTCGTTATCCCGTCAGTTGGCAACGTTCCAAGCCACGGCTTTTAGCGCATCGTGGTAGCTTCAAGCGCGTCAGATTGTGTATAGGAGGGAAAATGCGTTGAGTCGTCGATCCCGCTCTTACTTCCCATTCCCATGTCTCGGCCGCTCTCCGAGCCGGTCAGTTGACTGGAGCGGGGAATGAGCGCGGTGGCTGACATAGTCTAGTGACCTTGTCTGCGCGCGCCGCATGCACGACGTGCCCTTCCCCCCAAACACAAGTACCAGGACTTCGCACAACGGGGGTTGAGCGGAGCACCTCTCACGTGCGTGAGAGTGCCATGGAAGGAGCTGTTTCAACCCGACTCCCAGTCCATCAGTCCGCCACTCCACACAAACACACACAACTGGACGGACTGTGTGGACTGAACTGGAGCGTCAGTCAGCAGCCTACCGGCCACGGCGCTTGACGCGCCGGGATAGTCTCAGGCTCGAGTTACCCATGCAGCAGGAGTCGCTCGGAGACCGAATCGAGAAGCGCACTTCCCAGTTGTGTGGGAGGTGACAACTGGATGCTTGTGGTGGGTGATGCTGATGTGCGAGGGGATGGTGGTGGGGGGGGGAGGATGTGATGGTGTGGTTATCTACCGCAGGTTTTTTTGGATGCGCATGTGGCTGAATAAGTCTATGCGGTGCGCCAATGTGCGAGGACAGCGTGGACAGTGGAGGCGGATACAAGGGGTGTAGATTGGTGCTTCAGGCACTGGTTCGCCAAGCTCTTTGCGATAAATTCGCAAGTGCCCGACCGGGCCGATGCGTGAGGTGAAGGTTCGGTCGCAATGAGGACAGGTACAGTCTTGGTCCTCACCGCTGGTGTCGTCGATAGTGATGTTGGTTTTTGTTGCTGCGTCAGGATTGTGAGTATTGTTGATGTACATGGCAAACGCCACAACGGCAGACGTTTAAGCATTTGAGGAGGAGGAGGATGAGGAGGAGGAGGAGGAGGAGGAGGAGGAGGAGGAGGAGGATGGAAGTGGTGGTTCAGGTGTGCGTTCAAAGTTGATTGTCAGCGTGGGGGTTGAGGCAGAGGTGGACGGGAGGAAATCGAGTGGTGTCGTCCGAGGGCTAAAGTTAGTACTAAGACGTCCAATGAAACCAATTGGTGAGGGCGGTCGAGCGTTGGCGTTGAGAGGTGGGCGCACTTGAGATTTGCGAGCCTAGCGTTTGGCTTTGGCGGCGGTGGTGTGGTTGGCTTCGTAGATCGCTGCATCTGTCTTCACTGTCCTCCGTCAGGTCGGCCGGTCTCGGGCGAGGTCTTCCCAGTTGGTCGGGTTGACCTACAGACACTTTAGAATGACCTTTAGAGTGTTCTTCTATCGACGGATTTGTCCTCATTGACAACGGGAACCCGTGGCGACATCTTCGTAGAAAAGTTTTTTGGATAGTCGCACGCTATCCATCTGCACAAAGTGGCTGCTCTAAAGCAGTTGTAGTCCTCTCAGGATGGCGTAGATGCTGAGGATTCCCGCTTACTGCAGTATGTCAGTGTCGGGGATTCGGTCCTGCCACCTCAGCTTCCGGATGTGACGAAGACAACTGAGGTGGAAGTGGTTGAGTCGGCCTGCCTGCTTCGTGTACACCGTCCTGGTCTCAGCTCCATACAGTAGCGTCGGGAGGATGACGGCCTTGTACATTTTTAGCTTTGTGCTAAGCTGGAGGCCGTGACGATTCCAAACTGTTCTTTGGAGGCGGCCGAAGGGTAGACTGGCCTCAGTAATGCGGCGGGCAACTTCGTCATCGATTTTGATGCTGCGGGAGAGAGTGCTTCCGGGATACGTGAAGTTGTCCCCCTCTTGCAGTTTGGTTCCGTTCACGCTGATTTACGGCGCATTGTGGGGAGGGCGCTGTGTTGGGTGGTGGTTGGTACATGGCAAACGTCTTATCCGTGTTACTGATCAGAATGAAGTTATCACAGGCGGCGGAGAAGAAAAACATGATCCTTTGCATGTCCTCTTCCGAGGTGGTGTTCAGGGCGCAGTCGTCGGCGAAGAGAAGTTCGTTAACGGTGGTTGTGGATACGCGCGTTTGGAAGTGCATCCGCCGTTGATTTAGGAGGCGACAGTCCGTCATGTAGGCGATGCGGACTCCAGGACGTTTGTCACGGTAGGCGTCCATCAGCATGGCAGAGAACATAAGACTGAAGAGGGTAGGCGCCAGCATGCTTCCCTGCTTCACTCCGTTAGTCACTGCGAATGCCTCTGAGACAGCTCCTTTGTCCGTGACCTGCACCATCATGCCATCATGGAGCTGACGTACCATCTGAGTGAATCGCTCGGTACAGCCGAATTTCTGCTTGATTTTCCACAGTTATTGACCATGCCAAAGGCTTTCGTCAGATCCACAAAGGTAGAGTAGAAGTGGATCTGCATCTCCTGGCACTTCTCCTGTAGTTGGCGAGCGGCGAAGATCATATCCGTGGTCCCACGATGACGACGGAAGCCGCATTGGCTTTCCGGCAGAAGGCCCTGTTCCAGATGGTTATTGAGGCGGTTGAGAAGGAAGTGAGCGAAGATCTTCCCGGTGATGTTCAGCATGAAGATGTCTCGGTGGTTTTTGCAGAGCCGGCGATTACCTTTCCGTTTACAGAGATGGACGATTGTGGCGTCTTTGAAATCCTGCGGTACTTGTCCTCGACGCCACATCTCCTGGAAGAGCGCTGTCAGATGGTCCATGAGTTGGGGGCCACCGTGTTCATCATTCACAACAGGATTGGCGTCCGATCCGGGTGCTTTCCCCCTGGAGAGCTGATGCACGGCCCTGATGATTTCCTGGAGAGAGGGTGGGAGTTCGAGGTCCACGTTGGCCTCCACGTACGACAGACGGGCGATTGCGACGTCGGAGATGGTGGAGGGACGACTGAGGACGCCTCGAAAGTGCTCGGTCCATCGCTGTAGAATTTGCGTCTTCTCAGTGAGTAGGGGACCGCTGTCGACGCTGAGAAGAAGAGCAGTACCTTTGCTTTGTGGACAGTAGACAGCTGTGATCGCGGAGAAGAAATTCTTCTGTTCGTTGCGGTCCGGACACCGTTCAAGCGTCCTGCATCTCGCGCAGCTGCTGAGGTACAAGACAACGACTACGGTATAAAGCAGCTCCGTTGTCGTCTGCGGGGTGGGTGACGTAGGTTTTGTGCAGGCGGTTCTTCTCGGCGCGCAGGTTACTGATGGTGGCGTCGTTGTCGTCGAACCAGTCCTAGTGTTGGAGGTGTGCGTGACCGAGGACAGTCAGCGCCGTCGACCGGACTGTGTCCCCCAGTTGACGCCATCGGTTCTCCATTGAGGCGTTCTAGGCAGCGGCGACGGCGTCGGCGGCGGCGGCGGCGGCAGCGGCAGCGACTGGAAGGTTGTCTATCCGTTAAGCTAGCTCGTCGCTGGAATGAAGATGGTGAACGGGCAAAGAAAACAATGCAATATTCAGCTTACCCGGGGGTAGCTTACCTTGTGGTCTCCTGCGAGGCTGCAGGCGAGTCTGCATCTTCGAGATGACGAGGCGATGGTCGGTCCACCCGTCAGCACCCGGAATCGCCTTTGTCACCAGCACATCCTGCTGTTCACGCCTCCGGACGAGAACATAGTCCAGCAGGTGCCCCTGACGCGACCGAGGGTGCATCCAGGTGGTCTTCTCTTGTTCCGGCAGGCAGAAGTAGGTGTTCGTCAGGATTCATCGGTATTCTGCGTAGGTTCGTAAAAGGAGCAGGCCATTGCCGTTGGAGCCGTTGAGACCATTGGGACCCAGCAATCCCCTCCAGGCAACATGGTTTGTGCGGACTCCGACGTTGAAGTCACCAAGGACAGTTAATTCGTCCGCCTTCGACACAGTCGCCAGGAAGGCGTGCATGTCCTCGTAGAATTTGGCCCTTGCGGCGCCAGTGCTGGTAGTCGGGGGAGCGTAGACGCTGATGATGGTGGCGAATTTGCCTCCCCCGAGAGGCAGACGGAAGCTCATCAGACGATCATTGATGTCCTGCGACAGACAGGACAGTCGTCTCACGTCGTTCCGGATGGAAAATGCGACACCCGCGTCCCGTCGCTCTGCCTTGGAGCGACCGCTCCAGAAGAAGGTGTAGCCGGCACCCACCTCCTCCAGTTGGACTTGTTCGGAGAACCGGGTCTCGCTGAGCGCGGAGCTGTCCACTCTATAGCGCGCCAGTTCCCGAGCCACTAGTGCCGTCCTCTGTTCCGGTCAGTTTCTCCTCGGATTGTCTAAAAGGGAACGAACATTCCAGGCTACCAGGTTGGGCGGACTCACTCTAGCTGCCTGTCGGGTGCGGCGGCGGACAGGAGGAGGAGGGGGGAGAGAGAAGGCATGGTTTCTGGCTTGATTGTTTCGGTCGTGTGTTTTGCATCTGCGGGCCACGGTTGGTCTGCAGACGACGTGAATCCCAGTATTTGTTTAAGGCGCCCCACCCCTTCACGGGCTGTCTCAGTTCCCCCAGACGGCTGTCGGACTCCACTATGGACCACGACTTTGTCTAATGGGAGTACGACCCGGGTTAACCTGAACCGTCTATGTTATCACTGTCTCTCACGCCGCATGACTTGAAGGGCGAAGAGGCGGGATGGGGTAAGGGAAGGATAGAGAAACGATAAGCAGAGTTTCCCGTCCCTCTCTAAGCTAACTGGTTGCTGAAATATAAACGGTTAGCAGATAAATTCAACAAAACAATATTTATCTTTCAAAATGCACAAACACAGACAAGCAGACAAAGGCAAGCAAGCAAGAACAAGCAAGAAACAAAGACAACAGAACAATATTCGGCTTACCTGAGGGAGAGGGTCTTTTACCTTGTGGCCTCCAGCAGGGTTGCGGACGAAGCTTCATATTGGAGGTGGCGATGCGGTGATCCGTGGAACATTCGATCGTGGGAGGAGAGAAAAGAGTGAAGTAGAGGGTAGACGGAGTGAGAGGCAGAGGAGGATGGCGGAGAATAGGTGTGAAAGAGAAGTGAGAGGGCGGTCTCCCAGCCACTGGGTGCTTGTGGCCTCCTGGGGAGTTGCAGACGGAGCCTCATCTCAGAGAAACCGAGGCGGTGATCCAGCCGGCCAGCGATGTTGTGAGCGCAACCGAGTTACCGTGTGTGGAGATGCAAACACGGATACCCTCACCTGGTTTAGTCCGTCGGTCAAAATGGTTACCGGAGTGTGGTCGCTGGGCAGAGCCTAGTTTCGGGGAGTCATATGTGAAAGTTGTGTGACAGTTGATGGACGCTAGGCGTTGTCTACACCTACATGTAAGTGAGAGACCTATTACGACCGTAACGTCGAGCCACAACTGGACACCCCCTACACCCCACACACCATAATGCGACCGTCGTTGCCGACGATGCCCATCGTGTGCTCCACAACAAGTTGAAGCAGGCACGGTGACTTGCGCATGATTTAGTTTATAGTGAATGTAGATTTGCGCTACATTTGGCGCACTCCTTCATCCTCCCCCACCCAGATCCGGTGTCAAAACAGGGTCAAAAAGACCGGAGACGGGAGAGGGCGCAGGTGGATGGCACGGTCGAGACCCCACCTTGGTGCTCCACTCCATACCCCTTGGTCCACGCAGCAAACGACCAGGATTTTAACCAAAAACAAGAATGGGGAGGGCCGCAAAGGTCCCTATGTGCGAGACTTTTGTCGGCAACTGGGTCTGCCACCGCACCCCAAAATGTTTGCATTTATTATGGTACGCATTCCAATAGCTGATATGGCCCAGCGCATCTGCCACGTGCCCCGTTTTGGGGACACACTAGATCGGTGATCCATAATCTGTCAAACGTAACAAAAATGGAGGGTTTTAGTTTGTGACTGAAACAGATGTCTAGAATTCCAACCATGCATACATTTTGAGGGGTAGCTCAGCAAATATCATATTGCAACTTGTGAAGCATCGTAAGCCTGCAAAATATTTCAGGGGAAACAGATCCATAGTACCAGTTGTGTCTTAGCATCCCGTAACTCATTGTACTATACAAAGAGGGCACTGCTGCATCTCAAACGTTGCCTTTTCTTGTCGCAGCTGTTTGTCTGGGTATGGCAAGCACAGCAAACCGTTGCTGTCACATTTTCCAAAGCTTCTGTCAGTCCACCTCTGTCATTTTCAGAAGTCTACGAATTTATTTTCTGTCCTACGGCATTTACTGGCACCAGATCTAGCGTCTGGTCTCTGCCCAGCTTATTTCTCACCGACTGCACTTATTATGGATCTGTTTGGACTTGAGGTCAGAACTTAGATCAAGCCCCAATATCCTGTTCGTATCAGTTAAAGGGACCGCTCTCGCGTCCTTAGTTTAAAAGTGGCTTTATTTGCGGGAATCGTCATTTTGTCACTCCTAGAAATATTTTAAGATCCTGAATAGGTAAAGCGAGGAAATTAGCTCTCCGAAATGGCCGCAAACACCGTAGGTATGGTCATGTTTCGAATCAGCCGCCCTGATACTGTCGTTTGCTTTGGAAGCCCGGCTGCAGACATGTTTGCTTTCAGGGTCAAGACGACAGATGGCAGGAAAAACACGATTAACCGAGCCCTCAACCCGAGTGTGGTACGACGACTCACTAACAACGACAGAAAAATGTACTAATGGACTGGTGTGCTGGTTTCCTATTCTTTTACGAGCTTTAACATCAACACCATCAATCCATAGTGTGGGACACTCTGAATAAAACAGTTTCTACCGTTAAATACAGCGGCTGGCTACCCATGAAGCGCACAGCTCTCCGGTAATAAACATCCAGCAGGAAGCCGCATACTGGTTTCACCTTCCTATCTCCTCTCTTTGCCACGTCTGGCAATATCAATTACCTTGTTCTCACCAATCTCGAAGATAGAGAACACGTTCATGAGCATACGCAGCAGGGCGCCGCAACTGGCTCCCACACTACGGACGGTGCGCACCCCACATCCTGTGAGGCCCAACCCCCCAGTGGGGTCAGTCTTCATATGTCACAGTAGCGCTACGAAGACCTGCCGCTCTCCCTCGAGGAATTATTTCGTGAGTGCGTCAGATGATGGCTTTCCTTAACATGAAATATTTCATTTGACCCAATTGTAAAAAAAACCGGCGAACTCGGTGGGACTCGAACCTGCGACAGCAAGAGCAAGGTTCGATCGCAGCCTCGCTCTTACCACCTGAGACAAGCGGCCGCATCGGGAGCCCTGAGTTCTATCACATTTGGGCTAAGTTACCCGCCCAGTCTACCACAAAGTATGGAATCGACCATTTCTGATGGAAGAAGCAAGTACTCAGTCTATCATGCCCAAAGGTAGATTTCCGTTATATTTGGCAGCTTAGTTTTTGGCTAAATTTGTGTTACTTTTTATCTCGATTTACATCAAGCCAACTGTTTTGGCTTGGGCCAGCTGTGAAACTTTCTCTATCTTTGGTATTCGGTGACTTTGCAGTAGACTGGGGAAATTGGAGACGCATTTTAACCGGGGAACGGAGTGCCCGAGAGCGGTAGGGAGCCTCTGACCCACAAAATTCTCATTTGGTCATTTTACATCCTGAGCTATGAAATCTGTCCATCGGCGTGTGAATAATCGCTATGTCCCTGGTCAAACCCATTTTCTGGGAAATTCTGGGGCTTGTATTCGGGAGGCCAGGTCGTGTATGTGGCAAACGCAGACGAGGTCACTAGTTATGTCGAACACTACGCCCATTCCCCGCACTAGACACATGACTGGCTCAGACAGTGGCTGGATCCTCTGGGATAGAGAGTGAGGTCGACGTCACAGCACAGTTTCCTTACTATGAACTATCTGAAGGGCGTGAGACAATCACGGTTCGCTAAAAGTCGTGGCTTGGAAGGTTGCCAACTGACGGGATAACTCAGACCTCGCAGTCAGCCTAGCGTGTGTTTGTGTCTTTAGTGGCCAACTGGTGGACTGAGAGTCAGGCTGCAATTGTTCCTTTTTAATGTAGCCTCTAAGGTACTCCCAGTCCGCGGAATCCGAGCCACCCCCTCCCCTCTTGTTGTGCAAAATCCTGATCATTGTGCGTTTTGGACGAGGAGGTGTGGTGGTACGCCTAGACGCGGGTTTACGCCGTGCCAGCCACCTGGGTCATCCCCCGCCTCCGGTATTCTTGACTCCGTCTTGACACCGGGCTCAGGCGGCAGGAGTGGGGGGAGAGCGTGGTAGATCCATCGCATGTCGCTGTCCCTGCGCTCACCCTACTGTGGAGCACACGGCGGACACCGTTGGCAACGACGGTCGAATTGTCATCTCTCCCCTGCCTTCCGAGATCAGTCTACTTTCAGTCTGAAGGTCATTCATGACGGAAGTCCACGCATGTGACCGCCTGATTGGCATCAATATGTCATCTGTAGCCAAGTTTACCACGTTTCAGTTTCATTTGATGCTGCTGACGGTAGCTTTGAGATACCACCAATGGCCCTCTTTCTTTCTCTCTGCTCAGATAACGTCTATACGGTTGATAGAGTTAACCGTGGTGTTCCCGGAGCTTGGCTTCCCGCAAAAGGCACTGTGCTCCCTGTTGCCGGTACAGTTTCCTCAATGAACTCTTTTCCCTTGGTGTAAAACTGATTTCGAGATAAATATAACCATTTTTTGGATTGGTATCTAATAGAATTTGTCTGGCCGAACACATTCGTTAGGCAGGGATACTGAAATGTCCAGAATCAGAAGTTTAATTCGCTTTCAGTGGGCATCTCAGCTAAAAGGCGTCAGGACGATCCGCAAGGAATAAAATCAAACAAATTCGCGCATAACAGGCGTATGTCAGCTGAAAACACATAAATATGGCCTACCGTACGACGTTGTCTTTCAGCGGTGAACACTGCCTCCCGACACAGCCTCGCACAGTGGTTAACCAAAACACATGAAGTCAGTTTATCAGAAACTTTCAACATATGCAACGAAACTCACTTGCAGTCTAGTTCATCATAATACACGAAACGAACAGGATTTTCCGGAATATAGAGGGTCTGTTCATCAGTTTACCCCTAGGTGAAACCATCGAAACCTGCCTGGGGCCAAGGAAATTGCGTGGGCCGCTACCTCCATGCTAGAGAAACGTTAAATTCCGTTTTAATGGACAACGTGATCTGCAGACTGGCGGCGTAGCTATGGACGAATGATTTGAAGCAGCTGAAGTGGTTATTTTTACGTCGAATTTGGAGAGCTATTTGCTCGAAACCCTGAAGGAAACCGTGTTTTACAGGAAAAATATAGATGAACGGTACGAGGGAACAGGCAGCCGCAGATATGGAGAGCAGATATTTGCGGATTCGAACAAATTTCGCAAGAGGACGGTCTTCAGCACTGAGCACCAAGTAAACCATAAGTTGGCGTTTTTAAATGTCCCTGCGCACAAGAGGAAAGGTGGTTCTATTCAAGGACCAATTAATCGCAGTGGAAGTTGAGAGGAGTAATGCTTTCTCTCTCCGAGTTTTGCTGTCACCCAGAGAAAGGGAAACTCAACACTGTCTCTTTAAACATGCCAGTAGAACATCGTCCGCTGTAGCTTGGAGGATTAAATCAATTTCCAAAGACTACCCTAATTAATGACGGTTACCCGGAGGGATTAATCCAACTATCCGCCACCATGGACAGTGGAATTTGTGAGGCCGTTAGTTCCGGCAAAGCCGATAAAAAAACCTCCTATCAATCTAAAGATTATAATATCTACAATATACTCAAAAGAATAATCAGTAGTGTGATTGGACGACATGCATTGCTGCCAGATATATATTCTTAGGCACTACAGGGATCAGTCTGACCAGCCCTGTCTATGCACGCCACTGACTGCATTTATGAGTTTGCGTGTAAATGCACATGCAAATACACTGGACGCATGCAAAAACAATTGCTGCGCCGCCTGCCAAACATCTACCAAAGTGACTGCTACAAAACGAAAATAAGGCACCGAGAAGCTCTTGACAAAGCCCCTGACGGAGACTGGTCAGGATGATATTTAAAATCCTTGTAAGCGTACGGACTGCGCGTCTTTTACGTTAGACATGAGCTACGTCAAGGTGCAGGACCAAGCCAGAACTTCAGAGG